AAAATTCAAGACTTTGCAAGGTCTGCATTGGTTAAACCTGTGATTGTAAACGTTGGTCGTGCCGGTGCTGCCAACTTGGACGTCATTCAAGAGGTAGAATATGTAAAACAAGAATCCAAAATTGTGTATCTATTGGAATGTCTACAGAAAACTCCGCCTCCCGTAAGTAATTATTACAATATATATAATGTGTTTTGACGTGACATTTATTTAGAAATAACACGATTTTTTAGGTGCTAATATTTGCAGAGAATAAGAATGATGTGGATGATATTCACGAGTACCTTCTTGTTAAAGGAGTTGAAGCTGTTGCGATTCACGGGGGGAAAAGTGGGTAACTTTGCAATAATTTATTATCTGTTAAATGATAATTAATAAGTATTAATACTAATAATATTTTTAAATATATGATTAATAAGGCCAAGATGAACGTGAATTTGCAATCCGGTCGTTCAAAGAATACAAGAAAGATGTGCTTGTTGCTTCCGATGTGGCTTCCAAAGGACTAGATTTTCCAGATATTCAACATGTTATAAATTACGATATGCCAAAAGAAATTGAAAATTATGGCAAGTATTAAAAGTAAAAAATATAAGCAACTATCAAAGATATATCTAATATTTTATATATTATTAGTTCATAGAATCGGACGTACTGGACGTTCCGGAAAAACTGGTGTAGCTACTACATTTATTAACATGAATTGTTCTGAGCAGATTTTACTCGATTTGAAGCATTTACTCAGAGAAGCAAAACAACGCGTTCCTCCTGTACTGGAAGCTTTAAGGGATCCATTAGAAGAAGAGTATAAAGAATTGTCCGGAGGTAACATTTGTTTTCATCAATATCCTATTTTTATACTCTTTATGTTAAATGATTTCTCAAATTTAAAAATAAACTCTAGGATGTACGTTTTGTGGTGGTCTCGGCCATCGTATCGCTGATTGTCCAAAATTAGACGCTCAAAGACGACAACAAATTGGAATTATCAGCCGCGGAGGAGGAGGTGGAGAAAGAGGTGGAGAATATTAATTTAAAATAACGTGATCAAGCATCTTTTCGTCGAAATTAGCTTAAATATATAGATTTGTAGTTATCATAAATAAGCATTAGTGTAGTTAATAAATAAAAGTTAAAAAGATTGATTTTTTATAATAGATAATTTAACCAAATTAATATTTGTTACGTAATTTCACGTGTTTGCTGTCAATTGAATATGAGTTACACAATCTACCTATCAAAATTTATTTAAGCATTTTTTTCTTATTAACTAAACTTTGCTTGCGTTGGTCTTGGATGATAAATAAGATTTTAAAAAAATAAAGTACAACAACCATGCCCGGTGAAGCTTTACTATTCCTCTTTGGTACCATTATGGCTGCTGCCTTGCTTTTTGTGATGGTCTTTTTCGTATCCTTAAAAAAATTATAAGAAAAAAAAAAATTAGAATTAAGAATTTTTAGTTGAAAAGTTTTTTTTTATACGGCTAAGCATATAATATCTCTTTGCTCAACATTTGATCAAATTTTATTTATCCATAATCGTAAAGCATTATTACCACGCATGAACAGACAATTATGTTTTCAGATCTTGAATGTGATTACATCAACCCAATTGACCTTTGTAACAAATTGAATCAAGTAAAAATTTTATATTTCATTGAATGTATGCATAATATTAAAGTACTAATTGTATTTATACATAAAATTAGTTTGTTCTTCCAGAAATGTTGGCCCATGCATTCCTTCACTTTATGTTCTTTATCAATGGAAGCTGGATAGCAGCGCTAATTAACGTTCCATTAGTAGTATTTAATATTCAAAAGTAAGTTGATATAATAAATTTCTTTTAATATGTGTATTCTATTTATTAATTATGATTTAATTTTATAGAATTTCCAATAATCGACATATGTATGATGCCACAGAGATTTTTCGAACTCTCGGTCAACATAAAAAAGAATGTTTCTTAAAACTTGGGTTTTATCTTATTTGTTTCTTTTATTACTTGTATAGGTATGATAAATTTATATTAGTGATGATTATTATTGAAATTATTAATAAGCGATAGACTATTAAGTACGACTATATATGCGTACTAATTTTCTTGAATATGAAAACTTTATTAATTTTAAATGATTTAAAAACGAACGAAACAATTAATTTATTAATTTATGCTTAATGGTCTTTTATTTTATAGAATGATCGTTGCACTCATTAATGAATCTTAAATTGAATAGTTATTAAAATGAACATTTATTAAATTTGGGATAACGTAAGGTAGCAGGACCTGAGATAGTTGGAAGATAAATCAAGGAAGGACATGTAAGAGGATTATCTAATTATGTGGTTGTATAGCATTCATTTCATATGATGAGCATTAATATTCACCGAGAAAGATCATGTGTAGGTATTTTTTTATTTGAGATTTGGTTTAGGAAGTTTTTTTGTATAATTTTATCGACAGCTTTTATATAATTGTGCAGTTTTACAGTTTTTAAAGTCTTTATTTTTTTTGTGATTTAATCAAACCAAATTTTTCATTCAATTTCAAAAATATAAATAAAAAAACAAAAAAAAACTGTTCATCATGAGCATATTTAAAATTTTATAAATATTGATGAAATATGAAATGATGAAAATAAGTATTAAAGTAATTTTTCCTGTAACCATTCATGGGTTAATACTTCAGTTTCTCTAATGTCGAACACCTTTAAGATTAATATTAATTAATATTAATTGATATAAAAATGATTTAAACCGATTTTTAATTTCCTACTTTGTTTAAATCAGCTTTTTGTTGAAAATATGTTTTTGCACTTGCATACTATCATAATTATAAAAAGTTTTTTTAAAAACCATATAACGTGTAATAACGTAAAGTAATATAAAATAACAAATACCAGCATGTGTGTTTCGGGTTTCGTGGAAGGAGGTGAATAATAAATTAGAATTAACGGGAATGACTTACGACCATCTCGATGAGATAACTATTAAATTTTTTTAAAAAAAAAAAAAAAAAATAAAAAATTTTTTTTTTTTTTTTTTTTTTT